CATTTCCCTTCACTGCTCCGCTCCTATTGATCGTATCGTGATGAAAAGTATACTATAACCTGCCCGGGAGTATAAAGAATAATTGGGCCAAGTTTCGTTAAAATCCGTCGAGTAGTTTTTGTTTCTATAACGAATATACAGACAGACAGACAAAAATTTTACTGATTGCATTTTTGTCATCAGTAGCGATCACTAATCACCCGCTGATAGATAGATAGATAGATAGATACTCTTTATTGTTTCCTCCAAAAGATTACAATAGTAAACTTATTAGAAATATAAATAATTACAAGAAATAATCACAATGAGAAAACAATGGGCGACCTTATCGCTAAGAGCGATCTCTTCCAGGCAACCTTTGGATGGAGAGGAGTAATTATAAACAGTTTGGTGGGAGGTACGATGAAAAATTTTGTTAGTTCTAAATATGGGAGATGTGATACATATAATAATATAAATATTATCCCTACTCATTATTATATATATATATATATATATATACATATACACCTACACACACATATACATATATATATACATATTATACATATACAAATACATATACATACATGGACATAAACGCCTACACAAATACATAAAAATATATAAATACTGTTCACGAAAAGTATGCAAGTAATAAGTATGCTAACCAGACGTATAAACACATTAAGAAGATGACAACTTGCTCAAATAATAGTTCTTCAGTTTTGTTTTAAAACCAGCCGTACATTTTATATTTCGTAAGGAAACTGGTAAAGCATTCCATAGCCGTACAGCTTGCACCGTAAATGATTTGTCATAAAAATTAGAGAAATGTACCGGAGTCTTCAGCTGGAGGCCCCCAGAAGACCTAAGATTAAAAGAATTGACGGTATGCAAGAATTCAAACCGCTCCTTCAGATAGTGAGGGGAAGAAGAGTTGAAAAGGGCATTGTGGAGCAGTGAAAGAATTATAGTTATTTTGTAAATATATTTCATGTACAGAATTGACCTCTCTACAGATTTATTATAAGTATAGATTAGCGTTATAAACATAATAAATTTGCCAATTTAGCTATTATAAACGGCAGACTTCATAATTTCAAACCGTCGAACACTCAGCATAATAATTTATCGCGGATTCGTCCACAAAACTAAGCCAAGGTCAGCGTACTCATAGCCACATACATATTAATATTTTACCTCTTTGTCAATTGTTACAACATGACAAACGTGACGTTGTTTCCGAGTGAAGCCTAGTTTTTTAATAGTATGGCAAGTCTATTGTCTATGGGTCGAAACATGGTCGAAAGCTAAGAACAAGGAATTACATAGAAGGAGTGATAAAATAAAAACTGTAAATCATACGGTTGCCTCCTTTCTTCTTATGCAAATATAATTAGTAAAAAGAGGACGAAAGATACACCATCAGTTGCTATTTTTCTCAATTCATAGCAGGCTGGTGTGTAGAAAATGTTTGATATGTCAATTATTTATCAATATTTTTTTTCTTTTTTTTTTACAACACGGGGCAAACGAGCATACGGCTCCCCCGATGGTAAGTGACTATCGCCGCCCATGATCACCCACAATACCAACGGCATTGCAGGTGTGCTGCCGGCCTTTTAAAAGGAATATACTCTTTTCTTGAAGGTTATGTTGTCGTATCGGTTCGGAAATACTGCTACTGGAAGTTGATTCCAAAGAGTGGTTGTGCGTGGAAGAAAGTGCCTTGAAATGTTACATTACTAGATTATATATTGGACACAGTTTATGTGGAAAGTATGCGAGCAGGTTGTATCTGAATTTGGTAGGGTTATACGGCCGTATAACATTTTGTATACACTAGCCTGCTATGAATTGACAATTTTATCACTCCTATGTAATTCCTTGTTCTTAAGTCGAAAGACAGACGCTGTGCCCACCTCAAAAATAGCTGATCTCCACTCCAGAATGCGAGCAAAGCTTTATAATGCGTCATCAAATCAGCGGTTTTCTGTCCACTGCAGAACATAGGCTTCTCTCAATTGGGGGATTTACAAATGACGGAGTTTTTTTTTATACAACTTAGCAACAGCAGCTGCAATCAATTAACAAGGGCATCTCATGCCCGCCAAACGATGTGTGGGCGGGCGAGGTAGGGCCCTCGGGGTATACCCCACTACCCCGGCTTCAACTCCGGAGGCGACGACCTCCGGGTCACTGGGTTCTTCAGCAGCTACACTGATGGTCTGTGTATGCCGACGTGAAAAAATAATCCTCCAACTATCCTTGTATAGAGGGCGCAGTAGTCGAATATAGCGACAAACTGGATTCAAAACAGTGCCACTGATATTCTACTGGGCTCGTGCATGACCGCATTACAGGTTACTTTGCCTTTCTCTTTTAAAAAAAATATAAACAAACTAGCTACGACCGCGGCGTCGTCTACGTGACCCGGACATATTAATTGACTGTCGTGTATTTATCCGTAATACGGAGTATGACACAAACAGCATGCATAATTAATTACATAAAAGTAGAATAAAGAGGCAACAATGGGCGCGTTTTCGCTAAACAGCGATCTCTTCCAGGCAACCTTAGGGAGACTTTGTACAAAAGTCAATTGCTCGGCCACCTCTGTCCCATTCGTGTTTCAACCGTGAAGCAGTTGTGTTTGCATGGCTGTGTTTCGGTTTGAAGGTTGGGATATGGCGTGAATTTACAGGGTACAGAGGAATAACACCTGAGTCCTCAGGAATGGTAACGTATGGGGGATATCATGTGCGAAACAGTATCCTCTGTTATGTCCACGGTACTGCTCATGTCTATAGGCTACGGTTACCACTTTCCATCAGGTGGGCCTTCAGCTTGTTTGCCATTCTAGTTATATATATATATATATATATATATATATATATATATATATATATATATATATATATATATATATATATATATATATATATATATACACAATCATTTCACACACAATAAGGAGACAAGTAGATATGAACAGTCAAAAAAAGTAACTATATTTTTTTAATGACTGTACCGAAATAAAATAAAAAAAAAATCTGCATGATTTTTTTTATTGGTAAAATTAAATCAAAATGATACAGTTCATGTTCAAAATTAAAGGAAAAATGGTTAAAAAAATAAATTTGACAGCTATGTGTTTTTTTTTTCTGCAATGCACATTAAAAAGGTATCCAGACACGATCAACTTAAAGTGAACTTGGTCTTTTGTATAATTTTTGGACATTCAATGTTATGATGGAAATTTCCACCGTTATGCAAAGAAGGGTTAAAAAAAAAATTAACAAAATGTACCTTATGTTTTATCTGAATAAAGAAATATTATTGTTATTATTAACTAGACAGGCAGGTCCGTCCGTCGTCCGTTCTCGGGGCCTACCTCACCAGCAGCGCGAAACGTGTTCTGTTCTGTACAGTTAGAAACTAGACCGGCATGGGAAATCATTGGCTGTACCGCATCATGGTAGGCAGATGTAAGTATATCATCTTACATTATATAAACAGAGTGTCTCCATACAAATGCCTCGAGAAAAGCGGCTCAACTTTTTCATACAATTTTTTTTTTGATAGGTGAAAATGGTATGGCAGCCCCGCCTGCACTAACGGGATACGCTGGCGGAGCACCAGTGAAGGGTGATAGATGAGAATGAAAACAGGCCAGTTAGCCCATCATGATGAATTCATCAGAAATTAACCATTATAGTGTCCAGGGAGAACCGCGTGGAGGTCGACCTGGTTGGGTATATTGCTAGCAATGAGATTCTCAGTCTCCATTACTAACAATCCCTTTCCCCCCTTTCCATACAATTGTGCGTGATAAATAGTTACGAGTGATTCCTTTATAACCTCTATATTTATTTTGTTTTATAATTTTTGCATATTTTCAATACGTAAAATTTCTTTTTATTTATTAAACAATTAAATATAGATACGTCAAGGTGCATTGTGTGCGTAAGTATATAGAACACTGATAAGGGAACGAGTCAGCTAATTTGACAATCAGCTGACAATAAGTTGACCCGTTTTTGAGGCTCGATATTGTTAAAGTTATATATATATATATATAGACTCGGCAAACGTTGTTTTACCATATACATTATTTCGAGACCTATACATGAAAATTTATCCTACTACAATTATTCGATTGCCATCTTGCAACCCTTTTTCGGAATATAAAAACCGCTATTAAAAAGCAGGGGTTGATCGTAAAAGGGTAAAAATTTGAAGTTGTATGTATTTTTCAATGCTTAGTCATAATAAAATAAAAATAAAAACATTTGTCGAAAAAATAAAAAACAAAATATATAGGGGTGGGTCAGCCTTATGATTGAGGGGTATAAAAAATAGATGTTGGCCGATTCTCAGACCTACCCGATATGCACACAACATTTCATAAAAATCGGTAAAGCCGTTTCGGAGGAGTTTGGTAACAAACAACGCGACACGAGAATTTTATATATTAGATTTTATCCTTAGAACCTTTCTTAGTAAATGCAACATACATACATATCTGTCACGCCTGTCTCCCATTAGGGTAGGCAGAAACATTGGAACGCCAAATGCTTCGATTCAAACAAACCTCTTTCGCTTCCTCCACATTTATCAATCTTTTCATACACGCTCGCCGGTTACGGATATTTGACACGTCATCAATAATCAAGAAATTAATTGATTTTCCTCCTTTTTTTATACAATTTAGAATGGCAAACAAGCTGACGGCCCACCTGATGGAAAGTGGTGACCGTCGCCTATAGACATGAGCAGTATCGTGGACATACCAGAGTATACTGTTTCGCCCATGATACCCCCCATGCGTTGCCATTCCTGAGGACTCAGGTATTATTCCTCTGTACCCTGTAAATTCACTGCCATATCCCACCCTTCAAACCGAAACACAGTTATGCAAACACAACTGCTTCACGGTAGAAACACGAATAGGACAGAAGTGGCCAAGCAAACGACTTTGTAGAGTCTCCCTCTGATACTTTTGAAAACCACACAGACGAAGTAACGGGCAGGTAGATAGTAAAAAATAAATACAAATTCGATAACAGACAAACAAAAACTTTATTACAATATTCATTTTATCATTCAGATATGTACAAACAAACGTACAAACGTACATCTATACAATTCGCAGTAAACAACTTAAATAAAAAATTTTGCTTGCATAGAACTTAGATTCTTCTGTATATAAAATGAACTTACTCAAGTTAAGTGGTATTAAAATAAAATCACGTTTAAGTTATTTACTGGATTCTACAAAAAAGGTAAACTTACTGTCGATTTATTCGAATAGTGTAGTCACTATTATAACCTAAGATTATAACAATATTAAATATATATATTAAATATAATAATATTAAAATAAACAAATCTGCTCAAGCCTGCAGTTACAGGCGGGAAATTAAAAAAAAGTCCCGCCATTATGGAATTTCTTTTTCTTAATAAAAAAAAAAGTATTATTTCCCGCCATTACGGAATTTCTTTTTTTTATTTACTATTTTATCAGTAGATTTTAAAGTGGCGCCATGTAAGGAAAGTTTTGTGTAAACTTCCCTTATTAACTTATGTATTAGAAAAACTAGGTGGGTATACCTATTGTTATTTAACTGAATCTAACTAAATATAATTGTTTTACAGTGCCCACATCACAATAGAGCAAGAATTGTCTTTGGATTTGAATTAAATCAAACTGAAATATCTTTTTTTTTATATATATTTATCACCATTTTAATTCTTCATTAATTAAAGTCAATTGACATTATTCATTTGCAATTTCGTGTTATAATTTTCATAAAAATATCTTCACACAAATACTTCGCCAAAAACAGGTCAACTTTTTATCTTCGGTGCATGAATAGGGTTACCATAATGTATATTTACTACTCAATTTATGGGAGAAATTATATTGTAAAGTTGAAAAATAAACAATAAAATACAACAGAAATAGAAGAGAAATAATCTTTACTAAGACAGACTTGTTTACAAGCTCTTTTATATCGTCAATTTTTTAATGATTACACTGCTGGATCTGGGATATTTTTATTGCTAAGAACTCGCAAGAAACTCAACAGTTTTTTTTTCATTATTATGTACGAAATAATTTTATGTTTGCATGGGTATTGGGACTATAATAATTAGCTTTAAGTTCTATTTAAATGTATGTATTTATTATTAAAAATAAAACAAGATATACAGTGCGTAATGATTCGTAAAGATACTTATCTTTACTCAATACTTTGATTTACTAGATATAAATATATATACATAAAATATGTTTTTGTTTCTGCATTATTTAAAATGGCCGCCATTTTAATTAATATATGTATATTAATTTATAAGTAGCTGTGTGGTCCTGGCATAGAATGGGCTACCCTTTCCTTTCCTGTGAGCGTCGTAAGAGGCAACTAAGGGACGACGAGGAACGGTCAACTTCCTCTTAAAATATCTCCAAAGCCTAACTACGGATGCCAATTCGCCTGCCAAGCGTGGCAACTACTGGTAAATTCCCCCAAGGGAAAGGCTTATGTCCGACAGTGGATAATTAAGGAAGGGATAACTGGTGAGAATAGTAGGTCAGTTGACTCATCGTGACAAATTAATTGAGAATAAGTGACGATGGTTTTCAGAGAGAATAAGTAAAAATTTATAATATATATATTTCTTAGAAGAAATAGTTCCCAGTTCAAATGGAAAATATCGACTTTATTTAGGAAATTTTGCAATTAATTACTTGCAACACTGAACAAATAGCGCGTTTTGTCTTGATTAAAAAAAAATACTAAATTGCGTTAGCCAAACGTCAATTGAGTTAAATGTTGACCCATTCTTAACACAAAATTCTCTATCTAATCAAGGCTTTACCTAAAAAAATAAATTTTTCAGTTCTTGCCTAAGTGAATTTAGTATATACAGAAACCACATTTAAACTTACAGGATTTGTCAGTATGTACATGATATTTACATTTATTATTTACAACCCTGAAAAAGGCAAGTTCTTTATACAATTCTTATAAAGAGAAAAAACTTGATTTTTTGTATGTTTGTAATGAATAAACTCAAAAACTACTCAACTAATTTAAGAATTCTATCAACTATAAAAAGCTGCATTACTAGCGAGTAAAATTGGCGCCATTTTGTGTATGTTACTCTGTAACTGACTAAAACCGTTTACTTTCACTGTGTCAATAACTACAAATGTCACAAAGATTTTTTGTAAAGAAAACGTTACCTATATATCTTCACGGCAAGTCCGTTGCGAGGTAGGCAGCGAGAACCGAATGCTGTACATACATTCTATCCTTACATTGTCTTTTGCAAAAGCAACACTTTAATAACTCTTCTTACGCATGCACATGTAAGAGTCCGGCAGTATACACACAATTCCTAAGCCTTGTGGGTTTGTACGATAAAAAAAGTTGCTTTATTGTGTCAACCTTAAATAACTTTTTACATTAACTTTAGTGTAATTTTAAAAAATAATTACGTACTATCAGTTTCTTTCATTGAATTTACCGAGTTTATAATAATTGTAGGCGTGGATGTATTTATATCGGCACTATTTGACACGTCAGTCATTTGACTAGACGTTTGTATCACTTTATCCGGCATCGTCACGTAATAACTAGTGCCGGGTGTTGCTATAGTAACGGTACTGTCACTTTGATTATTTATTGACGCCTTCATAATTAAATTGACAATTTCCAATTGCAACTTCATACACGTGTCGGTTGGCAATTTTTTCAACAAACAACGTATGTAACGTATGAATCCCTCTAATTCGTCGTTCTCGTCGCTTTTCGGCTTTTTTATTAGATACTCGTCGGACGATGTGCTCGCCCGCCTTTTCTGTGGTCTAGTTTTTGTCAATTTTGACGGCTTGGAGGGGCGAACTTTTGGCGGGCTTTTCTCGATGTTCCGCGCGTCCTCGACATAAACGACATCGGTGAACACGTCCTGTTCTGGCTCGTCGTCGCTGTGGAACGGCATACGCTCATCCTAGGAGATGGAAACAGAGTTAGATTTTGAATTTAGAATATACATTATTCAAAATTTAATAGAAAAATAAAGGTTGTTGGTTGACAGTCTTAACAAAGTTGTAGTGACTAAAGATATTTACTGAATTCCTTCACTAACTTTGCTTGCAGAATGAATCTCCTAGTTGAAAGACAAAAAGAAGCTAGTAATCAGCAAACGATGATTGATACCATGATACCTCGCATGGCAACGCATGGGGGGTATCATTGGCGAAACAGTATACTCTGTTATGTCCATGGCACTGTTCATGTGTAAAGGCGACGGTTACCACTTTCCATCAGGTGGGCCGTCAGCTTGTTTGCCATTCTAAGTTGTATAAAAAAAAAGAGTGGACAATAAACGGCTGATGTGTCGATTATACCTGATCTTGATCCTGCTCGTTATCCTGATCCTGTTCCCCGACCAGCTTGGGATGCTTCTCCTGCATGTGGGTGCGTTGCGCATCATCCCGATGCGGCACCGACGTGCGGCAAACGATGCAGCGCACCCGACCACCGGTCTCCCTCTCGAAATAAGAATTCAGGTCGCTCTGCTTGGTCGAGGTGTCCGTGTCTTCGTCTGCGTAAAAAAAAATAAAACAATTATCAGATACTCTATGTTTTCCGGCATCCTTTCCTAAATCCTCTATCTATTCGTTATAATATATCCCAATTAATATTTTTTTTATGGATGATAATGGAATGCTAACCCCACCCGCGCTATACACCGGTATACACCGGCGGGGCACCAGTGAAGGACGATAGGTGAGGATGAAATAGCTCAGTTAGCCCATCGTGACGAATTTAACAAGAATCGTTCACGATGGCTTCCAGGGGGACCACGTGGAGGTCGACCTAATAGGGCATATTGCTAGCAATGGGGCTGTCAAACTCCATTACTAACAATCCCTTCTGCCCCCCCCCCCCCCCAATTAATTTATTGACGACTCCAATTAAAATTTTCGCGACCGGCGACCGACCGGCGAACCGGCGGTTTGAATGTTAAACGCAAAAATATCTTTATGGCGGTCGCTAGTACCTGAGCTTGTGTCGCTCATACTCTAAGTGGAAAAAAGATCAGAAAATCTATGGACATTCGCCACCCAAAGTAACTATCATGGTTAATTCCTGATGAATTCATCATGATGTGCTAACTGGCCTGTTTTCATCCTCACCTACCACCCTTCACTGGTGCTCCGCCAGCGTATCCCGTTAGCGCAGGCGGGTTTGCCATACCATTTTCACCCATCAAAAAAAAAATATGTTTCCTAGATAGGTGAATAAAATCCCATAGCTTTGCTTTGAAGTTTATCGTCATAATATACCACTATGAATAAATGAATGAGTGAGCATACTTTATTTGCATTATACAATATAGGGATCAAGCAAGACAATTAATAAATGCAACGATACAGTTGTAAGAGTACAGTGAGCCGGTCTTATTGCTGAGAGCAATCTTTACAAGACAACCTTAGAGTAAGTATTTGAAGGTTTCTTAATCTTTTTGCGGTCACGGACCACTTTCACAAGGACTGCTGTCAAAAAACTTTTTTTTTATACAACTTAGAATGGCAAACAAGCTGACGGCCCACCTGATGGAAAGTGGTGACCGTCGCCTATAGACATGAGCAGTATCATGGACATAACAGAGTATACTGTTTCGCCTACGATACCCCCCATGCGTTGCCATTCCTGAGGACTCGGGTGTTATTCCTCTGTACCCAGTAAATTCACACCATATCCCATCCTTCAAACCGAAACACAGCCATGCAAACACAACTGCTTCACGATTGAAACACGAATGGGACAGAGTCACCTAAGCAATCGACTTTTGCACAAAGTCTCCCTCTGGTAGGTTAGTTAGGTCCTAAAACTTGGGGGGATAAAACTTTTATTGGTAGTTCCAATGGTTTCTATTTAATTCGCCGACGACGACGATGGGTCCCGTCAAGTTTACTACACAATTTCCCAATAAATATTTTTACAGTCGACTGATTTTTCGTTTTTTGTCGAAGGAAAATGCTCATGCTCACTCACATATCTCGGGGAAGATATGTAAAACCCCCGGTGCTCGTTCTCGGCTCAAATTTTGGGTGTGCACGAGCAATCGTCCCATCATAGGACGGACCTACTGCGAACCTCTGATACGGGGGGAAAGGGATTGTTAGCAATGGAGTTTGACAACCCCATTACTAGCAATATGCCCTGTTAGGTCGATCTCCACGCGGTTCCCCCTGGAAACTATCGTGACTAATTTATCGTTGAATTCGTCACGATGGGCTAACTGACCTTCCTTTTCATCCTCACCAATCATCTCTCACTGGTGCCCCGATAGTGTATACCAATAGCGCAGACGGGGTTGCCATTCCACTATCACCAATTAAAAAAAACATAATAATATAACGCCCCCTTATGAGATTTTCAGGGGAGTGGTAGAAGGACCAGAGAAAATTAGGGAGCGAGAGATGAGATTATTCATAAAGATGGCGGAGCCTGCCTATGCTCCTTAGGCAGTTTAAAAATATAGTATTAAAAAAAGCAGAAGGTAAGTAAAATGGCGGACTTTAGAAAAAAAAATATATTGGCAAAGTACACGGAGGCTTCAAGTAAGGCAAAATAAGGTTCAGAAATCGATATTAACTGACCCTAAATCAGATTTTTTTTTTAATTTCTGTAAATTTATCAATGCCTATTATTTTTTCTCTTTCCGTGAGCAGACAAAGTGTATAAAATCTTATCTGAGAAAACATTTCATGGTACGATATATCTGATATACCTAACGAAGGTAAAAGCTCTGTAAAAATATTTAAAAAACTAAAAAAAAAAGCTTTATAAACTACTCGTATGCTCTACGAGACCTGTACAATAATTTTAATAAAACGAAACATCAGTCCGCGCGACGCCGGGACTGGTCGCTAGTCAATGATAAAATTACAGTAAAAAAAAATATGAATGTCATTATGATAGTCTATGATTACTGTTACCTTGTAATTGTTACTTTTTGGCTGATGGCTTTCGCCAAAGTCACAATAAATGAAAAAAAGTCTATGATTACTTTAATAAGATTACCATAGATAAAAAATAATATGTATAGATAATTATTAATCTATGACAATGACAATAGCAACAGTCTGTCAAAGAAATATAAATGGTATTGTTCTGTTATTAAGGTCTTCTATTATTGTTTATTGTAAGCCCTTCAACTTAATACCGCAGTCGAAAGGCACTTGTATTGCATCACGCTGTAGTTCATTGAACGGGCTTAGATATATCAAATGTCAATAGAGAGTTCGTATACGTACTCTGTGTACACTGTAATAGGTAAATAAACCTGCCATTGTTACACTCGAACAGGATTTGTTAGGGGGGGGGGAGGGGGTTAGTAATGGGGATTAGTAGCCCCATTGTTAGCAATATACCCTGTCAGGTCGACTTCCTCGTGGTTCCCCCTGGAAACTATCGTGATTGATTTATTGTTAAATTTGTCATGGTAAGCTAACTGACCTGCTTTCTTCCTTGTGTAGACCGACAGTGCAGGCGGGGTTACCGTTCCATTTTCACCCATAAAAAAAAGCCACGATGGTTTCCAGGGGAAACCACGTGGAGGTCGACCTGATAGGGTGTATTGCTGGCAATGGGTCAGTTAGACCCCATTACTAACAATCGCTTTCCCCCAGAGTAAGTCAGTCAGCCCATCGTGACGAATTCGGCGATAAATTTGCCATGACAGTTTCTAGGGGGAACCGCATGGAGGTCGACTTAATATTATATTCTTGTTTCATTCGGCCGATTATCTAACCCGAAAAAGAATCGCGACAAACTTTCGACTAATTTTTTATACAACTTAGAATGGCAAACAAGCTGACGGCCCACCTGATGGGAAAGTGGTAATCGTCACCTATAAACACGAGCAGTACTATGGACTATTTAATGATATAATTACACTTTTTTTTTATTTATAATTTAAGATATTTTCCACAAAAAAAAAACCTAGTTCAATCGTGATAAAACCAGTTTTTTGTTTTGAAAAGTACCGAATCGATTTTAGTAAAACTTCTATGGACCCAATCCGAAAATAAACTTTTTTAGAAAAAAATTTGTTTTTAAATAACCTAACCCATACTTTACCTCATAGGTAACAAAACTTAAAAAAAAATATAGGGTATATGTAAGGGTTAAATTAAACGCAAGAAAAACAACATTTTTATAAACAATTTATTACTACTCAACTCTCATTCTCCGCCTGCACTGTGACATAGTGCAACTCTCCCGGCGTTTCTCGTTCCTGATCTATATGTATCGAATAACCGTTAGAAGGCACGTTCCTATGCACTTTCTTCGTACTGTTACATGACAACTGAGCATTGATGATTTGCTTAATAAAATCACTTTGAAACTGATTCGACAGCTCTCTCGGCAACTCTTTTAACAGCGACACCAAATACTTGCCAAAGTGTTCCAGGCTGTCATTTTTTTTTCTAACGTACCGATTCTGGAACGAGAACTCGCCACTACTGTCAATGTCACTGTCACTGTCATCGACGAGTCGGCGTTTTCGCGCCATTTTCGCGCCGCCATTTTGTAACAGTGTACTATCTCGCGCGTTTTGCGTTACATTGGAGTCTTCTCTATTTTCCTCGTCTGCGGACAAGTTCTCTTCGAATTCTTCTAGATACAACGTATCTACGTCCATTGTGTCTTGCTAAAAAGAAAACAGGATCTGTTTATACTTGTTCGACCGAGACCCAAGAGGGCGCTGAGATCCAAAGGGGGCACCTTAATAAATTGTCCAGAGGTGCCAGCTACATTAAGACTGACTGTTTACAAAAATACTGGCATACAGACCAAAGATTTTCCTTGTTCTTGGAACACAGACAAATAAAACCATAGACAAACTTGCACAGAACTGTCATGCGGTTTAATGAGTTAATGTAATATATATATAAAAAAAAATGGGTGGAATAAATATAAATAAATAAATATTTAAAATGGTATTCCACAAAAAATCTTTAATTGTACCAATACCAGATATTTTGTTTTAAAAACAAATACTTAACCGATTTTGAGAACATTCTATGGGTTACACTAACGGAGAAATGAGGTAACAAACAAAAAACAAATTCAAAGAAACTGAGTAACTCATTCTTTTTTAAGTTGGTTGAAAATCAAAAGCACTATCAACGGCAAACTGACGACCCACCTGATGGAGAGTGGTAAGTCACAAATAAATATGGACACCACTAGCCATCACAAAATCTATAGTCCCCTCACGCAATGCCATTCCTGAAGACTACGATGTTATGCCTCTGTACCCTGTAATTTCACTGCCATATCCTACCTTTCAAACCGAAACACAGCTGTTTCAAGATGGAAACACAACTGGGACCTTAAGTTAGATAAATAAGTCAAGTAATCACCGGTTCCTCATCATCCACTTCATGTTCTCCCTTAGTCTCCTCTATTTCATATAATTGTCCATTGCTGGATATTAACACTGTTTTAGTCTGAAACAAGGATTAATAATTTCAATACTGGACTCAGCAGGGCTTGAGGTTCAAAGGGGGCGTTGAGAGTTAAGGGGACATCCAGAGAGGGCGCCGAAGTTCAAAGGGGGCGTATAAATCTAAGTTATACGTTCGGATTTAAGAGGAACGTCGAGTTCTTTTAAAGCGCATCGAGGTTTCAGGAGGGCATAGGGCACGTCTAAAAGAGACGCTAAATTCGAGTGCGCTGAGATCCTAGTGATGTCTCTAACTAGCACCGGGATCCAAAAAAGAGCATTGAGTTTTAAGGAATAAGCTAAGATCCAAAAGGGGCAAGTACAAAGGGGGCTTTGAGAGCCAAACAATGCTGAGGACTAATGCGAACGTCGAGATTTCAGGAGGCGCTAAGGTTCAAGGCGGCGATACAGAGCGCCATAGCTCAATAAAGGGTCGTATCAAATTAGACGTTAATACTTTTGACTCAACATTTTCGCCAAATTAAGTTGTCGCCGTCGACTCATTCAGTTAAACCTGGAAACAGTTAAATCTTATGGACTTTGTCACGATGTGATAACTGATCTGCTTTCATCCTCACCTATCACCGCTCACTGGTGCCTCTCCGACGTATACCGATAGTGCGGGCGGAGTTACTATTCCATTTTCTCCCAATAATAAAACAAACAAAAAAAAAAAAAAAACAAATATTGCTAGTTTAAATAAAAACTTGAAAAACACTTACCTCCCCTGTGCCAGATAAATCGATTTCGGGATGTTTCCTTTTCAGATGACGTCTCAAATGGCTGGTAGTGGACAAATATGAGAATCTTTTATTACATATTAAACAAGCTGATATTTTATTGACTGTATCTAAGCATTTGTAATACGACCACACTGCGGATCGACTGTCCGATGACGATTCTGATCTGAGGACAAAAATTGAAAATCATTTGTGATACTCTGTACCCCCTGATTACCCCGCTGAGGACAAAAGTCCCAAGTCACTGTGATACTCTGTACCTCCTGATTACCCCGCTGAGGACAAAAGTTCCAAGTCACTTGTGATACTCTGTACCCTCTGATTACCCCACTGAGGACAAAAATAACAAGTCATTTGTGATACTGTGTACCCCCTGATTACCTCGCTGAGGGCAAAAGTTCCAAGCCACTTGTGATACTCTGTACCCCCTGAGGACAAAAGTTCCAATTCATTGTGATACTCTGTACCCCCTAATTACCCCGCTGAGAACAAAAGTTCCAAGTCACTTGTGATACTCTGCACCCCCTGATTACCGCGCTGAGGACAAAAGTTCCAAGTCACTGTGATACTCTGTACCCCCTGATTATCCCACTGAGGACAAAAATAACAAGTCATTTGTGATACTGTGTACCCCCTGATTACCTCACTGAGGGCAAAAGTTCCAAGCCACTTGTGATACTCTGTACCCTCTGAGGACAAAAGTTCCAATTCACTTGTCCCCAGTGAGTTAACACTGATTAACTCACTGGGGACAAGTCCAAGTAATTTGTGATACTCTGTACCCTCTGATTAACCCACTGGGAACCAAAGTTTCAAATCATTTGTGATACACTGTAACCACTGCCTACCCTTAAAAGAAATTTACAACTGAAGAAGTTATAAGGTAACAAATAAAACTTGAGAAGTCTTTTTTTGGAGTCGGTTAAAAATAGAAAAAAGATGCGACACAGTTTTATATCACAGGATACATTGAAACACCCATGGAATAGTAATGCATGGGTGGCCTTGACATTTCCTAGGATATAATGCTATGTCTCCATACAGGGTCTAAAGGACAGGTTGGCCAAAAACTAAAACAGTGAATTCAGACTATTATTCTAAACTAAAAACTAGTAGAAATTCGTTCGAGGTTTTTTTTCTTCTATTGTTTCATTTAATATCATGTAATCTATAATGTTATATTAGCCAACAATCTCCGACTGCCATTTCGTCCATGCACGTTTTGCGAGTTTTGTGAAACAATCAAATCTTTTTATATTATTAGTACAGAAAGAGTATGGAGGCATAACACATATTGTAAATTTAAAAAGCATATGCAAAACCAAATATATTAATATATACTTTCTGACACCAACCAGTATGAATCCATTCATCATCTCAGCTCTAACCAGAAAGAGACTTTGTACAAAAGTCGTTTGCCCCACCTCTGTCCCATTCGTGTTTCTACCGTGAAGCAGTTGTGTTTGCATGGCTGTATTTCGGTTTGAAGGGTGGGATATGGCAGTAAATTTACAGGGTACAGAGGAATAACACCTGAGTCCTCAGGAATGGCAACGCATGGGGGGTATGGTAGTAAACAGAGGAAACTAAAAGAGAACATGAAGTGGATGATGAGGAACCGGTGATTTGGTTGTTGGGTTTCTGCCTTGAAACAGCTGTGTTTCGGTTTGAAGGGTGGGATATGGCTGTGAAATTACACGGTACGGAGGGGTAACACCGCAGTCTTCAGGAATGGCATTGCATGAGGGGTACCATAGATTCTGTGATAGCTATGGTGCTGTACATATCTATCAGTGACGGTTACCACTTTCCATCAGGTGACCCGTCAGCTTGTTTGCCATTCTAAGTTGTATAAAAAAAAAACTGTCCACTGCTAAATGTAAGCCTCCCCCATAGACTGCCATAAGGAACGATCCCGAGCCACCTGCATCCAATGTCTCCCTGCAATGCATTTGAGGTCGTCTCTCACAGTACGCATTACAGATTTTATAAAACATAACTTGCATACACGCTTTTTAATATAAAAATTACTTGGGCTGTGATGGCCAGCAGTATACTTGGAAGCCCGTAGTCCTCAGGAATACCAAAGGTCACCATGGGCAGCACAGTACATTCTGTCCATTCCAGGTACATTTCATGCCTGTAGACCTTAGGGACTACTCACACTTATTCAGCTCCGTTCGCATTTCGCTAAACGATTTTGGTCACACATATACAGCCCTGCTTCTATTAGCCGCGTACGGCGTCGTAAGAATGAGAAAAGCCGTCATAGCGTGCTATCGCCGCTGAAACGCTTGTCTACTGCGTATGGCGTTGAATATGTTGCATTTCGTAAAAATAAATTAATTATAATTACTATAAAATACGTCAGCACTCTTTGATTCTTGCGTGCATAATGATTACGCAATAATAAATTAAATCAATGCAGAAACAATACAGGTCGCAACTTGTCGACAAGGAGTCGCGAAACATCCCTGTGAAGAGCTGTTTCGCCGCGTTCGACGGTGAATGCGGCGGAACAGCGCTGAACGTGGCGGAACAGCGCTGAACGCGGCGGAACAGCGCTGAACGCGGCGAAACAGCGCTGAACGCTTTCTACAGCACTCGCATGATAAATACACATTTATCCTCATTTTATACTAGATTGCCGCGAAAGCAGAATATACGCGGAAAGCCGAATGGATGCGTACACGTCTCCATACAAAATCGTTGTTTTCTATGGACAAAAGCTGAATAGAGCTAAATAAGTGTGAGTAGTTCCTTGTTCCTTCCATCAGGTAGACCGATAGCTCACCATTTTCAGTATCTTAAAAAAAATATATATATATATATATATAAAGGCACTCACTTCGACTCATCACCGTCCGACTTGGAGTCATCCTCGGAATGTTTCCCAGGTACTTCGTCGCTGTGCATCTTTCTTATATGCCTCATGAGATTGGACACAGAGGAATAATACGAGAAGTCATTGCCACACAGCTTGCACACTGCTATACGTCGCTCCTTGTCTTTCACCTCAAAATATTCCCACGTGAGAGACTTGGTTGAGCGTCTTTTGCTGTTATTACGTCTGCATAAATTACAACACGTTAATATTACTGCTGTGGTGTGGTCCCGACGTAGGATAGACCACCCCTTTCTTGGCGTGGTCCCGTCGTAGGATAGACCACCCCTTTCTTGGTGTGGTCCCGTCGTAGGATAGACAAACCCTTTCTGGGCGTGGTCCCGTCGTAGGATAAACCACCCCTTCCTTTCCTGGGAGTGTCGTAAGAGGCGACTAAAGGAGGACGAGGGATGAGCAGCAGCGTCCCTCTTAGAACATGTCTAAAGTCTAACTGCGGTTGCCAATCCGCCTGCCAAGCGTGACAACTACTGGCAAAACCCAAGGGGGAGGCTTATGATCAGCAGTGGACAGTTTTTTTTAATGAATAATAATGGTATGTTAGATACGTTATGTTACGATGTTAGACCCGATAGCGCGGGTGGGGTTACCATACCATTTTCATCCATCAAAAATAAAAAAAATAACTATCTTATTTTGAAGTCCGATAAAACAATTGATAAAAAAAAACTCACTCCTGACTTGGGACGTCCTCTTCGTTGATATCAAATTTCTTGTTATTGGTAACATTATGCCTTCTCTTCAGGTGTTGCCTCAGGTTACCCGACGTTCCTTTGTACGAGAACACTTCCTTACAAAAGCTGCAGGTGGCCAGTTTCTTTTCGGCGTCCGCCACATCGAAGTATTGCCAGACGCCAAATTTGGGCTGTTGCTGGCTTTTGAGCTTATCACTAAAAGAGTAAACTTTCATTTGATCACAGTTGCTCCAGAGCAAAAGGTAAATAATAAAAATTACAGCCTTGTAACCTCATGATATGTGGGAGATATTTACGAAACTGATATCTTAATGCTTTTGAGGTGGTCACTCCATCAAATGGGGGGTAAGAAATTGTTATTAATGTGGACTACCAGCCTCATTGCTAGCAATATACCCTGTAAGGTAGACTTCCACATGGTAACCCTTGGAAACCGGGGGGAAAGGGATTGTTAGCAATGGAGACTGAGAATCCTATTGCTAGCAATATACCCAACCAGGTCGACCTCGTCGCGGTTCTCCCTGGAAACTATCATGGTTAATTCCTGATGAATTCATCATGATGGGCTAACTGGCCTGTTTTCATTCTCATCTATCACCCTTCACTGGTGCTCCGCCAGCGTATCCCATTAGCGCAGACGGGGTTACCATACCATCTTCACCCATCAAAAAAAAAACTTTGGAAACCATCATGGTGAATTCCAGGTGTTCTCGTCACGATAAGCTAAGTGCAGATCAGTCTTTTCATTCTCACTTATCATCCTTGACTGTTACACCATCAGCACAGGTGGAACACCAGCAAATGAATATAATGCATTATATTTAATGTTACTCATATATAAATTTCTTATCAATGCTATTTCATTGGTTTTACTTCTGAAATCCACACATACAAAGTTACATACAAAAATCCAATTTTTTCATATATACAAATTAAAATTATAACGTTTAATTTTAATTGATTCTGTGAAACTATCAAATTAAAATATTAATTAAAAAAAAAAAGGTATAAAGAAAGGTTAGAAGAACGTATCAAGACCTTTTTATACTATTAACAACCAGTTATATTAATAAAAAAAAACTCTTTTATTTAAGCTATTTATTTTATAGACTGTTATTTCGATAAATTTGCGGTTATTTAAGTAATAAAAAAAAAACATGAATATTGTTTATTAAATAAGTTATATTAAAAATGAAAAAAAAAAAAAAAAAAAACAATTAAATTGAAAATTTCCTTTTGTTTTAAATAAAAAAAAAACACAAAATATAATTGGTAAGTAAGTAGTAGATAGGTAGGTACCAATTTAATTTTAGAACATTGATTTAACTCCTTATGCTGCCATGTTTATTTACTATCTTGTTGATATTTTTTGCTAGATATATGAAACAAAAAAAATTAAAGATTGTCCCAGAAAAAAAACTATATTGTGAAAAAAAAAAAACAGTTGTTTTCATATAAAAACTAAACTACTGTAGCGATTTTTAAAAATGTCTATGGAATCAATTAATCTGTAAATATATCCTTTTAGATAAAAAAAGAATTTTCGAATCAATTTAGAATTGACCGAGTTATGTAGTAACAACATAAAAAATCCTCCGTTCCGTTACAAACTCACATTTTTAATCAATTTCACATTACAAAAAAAAGTTTAGTTTACCGCCAAAACAAATATATAGTTTCATAGTTGACAACTATTCACACGAAATGGGTATTAAGTGACAAAATAAAGCAAATTTATTCATAGTTAAGTGACATAAATATAGCAGTAGCGATATTAGGACGGCCCTAACCAAAATATAGGTTATATTAATATATAAATAGATAGGTACTTACTATTTTACCGCTTTTATATATGCATCGTACACTTCGTCGTCCTCTTCGGAACTGTCAACGATATCCCGTTTACTAGTTCTTCCATTACTGACACATAAAACAAGTTTATTTTAAACGAATAAAAACCCATTGAAATGTCATTAAAATATATATTACAGGTTTTAAACATTACGATTTTGTTGTCAAACACTGATGATATTTAAACAATTACAAAAATATATTGAAGAGGTAAATATATAGAGATAACGCAATAACTAGATCACTGATATTTTGGAACACTATATTCAAATATAAAGATTCACAACATACCTCAGTAACTCCATTATGGCGTCGCATCGCGTATTTATGTATTACGTATCGTGTAGGTATCGCGCTTCGATCGCGGCTTCAGTGTTACCCGTTTTTAAATTAAAATTATTACACTTTTTGCAAAAATTTAATTTTTTTATAAATGCATTTATTACGACAAAGTAATGACGTACGCTAATAATAGGAATATCATAATCTAAATCTATACAGTATATTAACATGTATTATATATATATATATATATATATATTCGTAGTGCACTATTAAAAATATACACATTATGTTAAAATAATATAATACCTTGTATTTACAAAATAATATGTTATTATTATACAATGCACATTTTATATTTTTCAGTATTTTTTGGAATTAATAACGCACAAAACCGCGTTTAAAGTTATTTATTTATAAGTAATCTGACATTATATATATAATACATTATTGTTTATTTATTAAACATATATAGCTCATGTGTATCCCCAAAGAGGGTTGACGTCAGGCAGGCGGCCGTAAAACTAAAAGTAGTAATATGGATAAAACCATATTATGCCGACCACAAATAATAATTGAGATAAGGGTAGGAAGATGATGATGATGATAATATAGCTCATGTGAGGATTTCATAAAACTGAACTAAACCTGGTATTGCAAGCGTTTAAAGGCTACGGTAACCGCTACCATAAGGTGCGCCGTATGCTTGTTTGCCACTTCAGTGGTATAATAAAAAAAAAAACTAAATACTCGTGTTGGCCTCACAATTTTTTGTAACTTGAAGAATAAATAAACTATCATCAATTTCGGTATTATAATGATTTATGTTATTTTTATTAATATATTTTACCTTTTGGAATATAAATACTAATAAAAATAACAATTTTGAATAAAATGGCAACACTTGGTTTGTTCTCTGCCAAATAATGTGATCGATTCAGAGGAGTCACTGCTCTAAACCTATTTCAAAAACATCAATTTGAGGTCACAATGAAATTTTTAGTCTTAGGAGCAATATAAACTAAATTTCTAATAGATTTACGTCAAAATAATTATAAGTTTGTGTTAGAAATAGGTTTATTTTCATACAGCTATAAACTACTGGCCGGTTGTAATTTAAAAAGATATGTTTTTAAATTTAATTGACACACTGTTAGAAACAATCGTTGCTTTACTGTATTTGCCTCTTCTATTAAATTTTATCGTACTTTTATATTGTGTTTATCCTATTCCCTTCCACTACGGAAATATAAGCTGATATCTCAAGCTAAATACCAACAGTTTGGTTTATGATCGTGTATAAAACAGTAATTTCGCCAAACTGTCAAATTAAAATATTGGTTTACGTGAGAAATTCACTTCAGAATCGACACCAAAGTTACGTTTGAAGTAACAATGTCAATAACGCAGCAGGTATGATTGTGAACAAATAAATATCGGATTCGCATCCTGTTGTTTTTTATTTTACGATAATGTAACGCGTATCTAAATATTAAATATATATACATTAATAGGTATCTAATATATAACGTGATTAAAACGTGATTAAAACGTGTTATCAAAACAAAAAACTATTTTAAGTGACTTAAAAAAGGAACTAGGTAAAAATTTTAAGTTTTACATAGTATACATGTACCTATGTGTCCTATATACATGTCCTATATCATATATATACATGTTAGGTTGACTGGATGAGATCTCTTTTAGAGATAAGTTCGCCTTTGCTAACATTGTTATTAACTTATTGTTCAAGGGTAGGATATGGCAGTGATATTACACGGTGCCAGAGACATTTTTTTTTTTTTTCATTTATTGTGACTTTGGCGAAAGCCATCAGCCAAAAAGTAACAATTACAAGGTAACAATATAAAATTACAAGACAAATTACAAAAATTATTATAGTTATAAATTAATTATAATATACTAAGAAAGTAAGTTAAGTAGAAAAGTATAAGTTACAATTACATATTTAAATTTCACCAATTGTTGAAGTAATATAATTAAAAATTTCTTGATACAAAATGGTATGTTTTAGTAGATCCTGCACTGAAGTAGGAATATTTTGACATTTTAATAAATCTTGACATTGACAAATAAAAAGTAACCGTTGAAGTGAGAATTTAGGACAAACAAAAAAAATATGATCCAAATCAGAAAAAATGTTTTGGCAGTATTTACAGATAGAATTATCCAATAAATTAATACGTTGCAAATGTGCAGGAAATTTACAATGACCTATCCGCAATCTACTTAATGTAGTATAATATTGTCTACCAAGAAAAACATTAGATTTTTCCAACCAATATTGTAACCAGACAATTTACAGATTTTGTTAGAATCAAACCAAGTTTCATTTAGTAAAATGATATCAAAATGTGATGTAAAGTTGTAAATAAAGTTTTTAAATTGAAATATTTTAGACAGAAAGCTTCTTGAGTTCCAATGAACAATATTAATTTCCTTTAAAGATGTAATGGTTATGTTGAAAAATTAGATATGAGTATTTCCTTAATTAATTTGGATGAAATTGTATCAGAATTAGTTTGAGCTTTCTTAACTAGCTCAATAAAAGTCTTAGTAATTGTGTTGAGTACAATGTCTGAGTTAATGATGTCAGTAACTAATGCCCTTTTTTGAGGAGATTTATTTTGCATTGGGCTGTTAATAGACACAAGAGTATTTGAATTAATTACAGAGTTAACCGATTTTGAAGTCACTGATGCATAAGATGTTTTGCCTAGAATTTTATCTTTGATTTGAGACAATTTCATCGATTTAGTGGGACAGCTATTAGATACTGCTACATGTTGTCCATTACAATTAACACATTTAGGGTTCTCTTTGTTGATACAGGATCTATAATCATGGGCACCGGCACATATGGAACAAACTTGCTTACTTCTGCAGGAACTGCTTCCATGACCAAATTTGTAACAAGTGAAGCATTGGAGTAGAGGTCTAATGAATTCACGCACATCCAGCCAAATATGGTCATACGTTACGTGATCAGGTCGCTGCGTAGAGAGGAAAGTTACTAAAACTGTAGGAAGAGGATGAAAACTTCCATCTTCTTTCTTTTTTTTTGAAACATTTAACACCGATGATATCTACAGTAGATTTTAAGTTATTTAAGAGATCTTCCTCAGATATTTCAGTAGGAGCTCTTATAACTCCCTGAGATTCCAGCTGATTATTGGGTATCCTAGCCTGAAGTTTATGTTTCTCTAATAAATCTTTATTTAATAAAAATTCGTTAGCCTGTTTCATTGATCGAAAACATATTTTGAATGCAGTAGGACCCATAGTACGAATATAGAATACACCAGGTACAGTCCTCAGAATAGAATTGACTTGCAATAAGTTTACATTGTTGCCCTCAATAGGAGACAACAGAATAAAATATTCATTTTTAGTAGTGTCAGAATATAGGTAATTTTGATCTTTAAACAGTCCTCTTTTTGAGTGAGTAAATTTAATACTCATCTTAGCATTTGGCTCTTCATCAGATATGGAAGTATTTTTTTTTCTTTTTAACTTGCCTCCGCTTGACTCGCACATACCCTCTAACAACACACGAGGGCTTAAATTGGAGAAATAAGTAAAAGAAACTAGGAGAAGCAACAAATAAATATTAAACAAATAAAATGAATTTAAAATTTCCGCCCTCGCGTTACAAGTTTTCCCGCCTTTTGGTACCACAGACTACAAAAAGTCTGTGCCAGAGACAATAATAAAGAGTAATATCTTATTATAAAAAAAAACACAATTTTTTTTTATAAAATTTTGAATGGCCAAAGAGCTAAAAGTCAACCTGATCAGAAGCGGTAACCTGCATTTCTAGTTTGAGGTAATAACCGTTGTTTATAGATATGGACAGTAAATCAAGTTAGAAATCGGATCAAGCAGAAGATGGCCTTCCCACTATGTACTAGATTAATATATTATACACTTGAACAATTAAATACAAGGTGTAACATATAAGAAGCATGAGTACATGTTTCGCCATACACACGTAAATGATGGGCCCTTAATACTTATTTTATTTAACATTATTATCCATGGTAATTCACGGTAACCCATTGTATTAATTACTCGAAAAGATGTAGTATAATGCAATAAATTAATAAAAAAAATAATAATAATTAAATGACTTCATAGACAAAAGATTTTAAATTCTTTTTTTTTATATTTCTGTTACTTCTGAACTCTGTCATTTAATAACCTATTTGGATTTTGTTTTATAAGTGTTCGCGACATTATTTGTATATATCGTAATTTATAGTTGTTAAGTCCTAGTTAATCGTTTTGTATAGATTTACATAGATTTAAGATAGTGTAAGTTAAATAAAGTATTCCTTTGTGTATTGTCCTTATTACCTACGAATAGAAATAGAAGTTGTAACAATAAATAGAATTAAGAAATTGTAAATTGAAATAAAATAAATAAATAGACGCTATAGAGTACCGATCTGAAGAGACACGCGTCTCGTTCATTCTCGCCCCGTCCCGCTCGCACAGATCGCTAACGCGAGTTGGAAATGTTATCGTGCGAGCGGGCGGGTATAAAGATAGGCCGCCTCTCGTCGAGCGGCATTCGCTTCCGGGCAGCGACGCACTACACTCGAGAAGAAATAGGACAAGAAAAAATACTCTCTTCAGACGGTACCGGAGGCTTCAGAATAGTAATCGCTGTGTTTCACTCCAGCCTGAACCAACGCCCCTACAGTCCAAGCTCACCGAACGGCAGTCCACACCGCACATCGTGGTCCTTCGAGAAGCCGGATTGCTGGAGGAACACCGTTGGTACATCGAGAAGCCGGATCGCTGGAGGAAGACCATTCTGAAGCCGGATCGCTGAAATGCCGACTACGAGAAACATGAAGTCGTCGCAACAAAAAGTCGCCGTCACCGAAGCCACAACGTCCGCCGCCACGTCGACTACGGCCGCCGGAACGCTGTCCGTCGCTGCCACGCCGTCCGTTGCTGCCACCACGTCGTCTGCGGCTGTCAGAATGCCTTCTGTCGCTGCCACGTCGTCTACCGCCGCCACCACATCGACTACGAACACGTCCGGCGATACGACGACCACAGGAGCCACGGAGACTACCGAAGCCACAGGAACGACAGAGGAGACAGCAAGGAAGAAGGAACCGAAGCACGGCA